TTCAAGATTAAAGTTATTGTAGCGTTGTGCAGTTAAAAGTGAAAAGATTGAAAGGCAATCTGGAAGTATTGTTTGTTATATTTGGCATCGATTTTAAGTATGGATCGACAAGTTGAAAAAAAAAAAACAAAACAAATTACGTTCACTTTTCAAATGAAAAGTGACGAAGATGAATTCTACAATTTTTTCTAACGATAATTAAATTCTTGCGTCCTACTTAGAAACGACTTCATATAGCGTAAAATGCCTTTACTTATTAAGCTTAATTAGGAAAAATATTTTTTTTCTGTAAATATTAGTATTTCTTCTTAAATATTTATCTTCATTCAATTCACATAAGGCAGCAGCGTTCATCACTCCTAGGATCTCCCTGAAAATTGAAGAAAAAAACAAATTTTATCGTCAAAAAGATAAGTAAAGGTTATCTTTAATGTTAATATCGAAAACTTAGAATTTGAATGTTTTATGTGTAAAGTGAAATATATTACTGTGATTCATCAATGTTTTTTAATACTAATGTTAGCAACGAAGCAAATAAATGAAAAGACAGACAGCTCTGATTTGCTACAAAAAGTGATTGCAGTAATGAAATTAAGATAATAGAACAGAGAAACAAGATTACTATGACCCATTAGTTTCGAAATAGTTTTCCCAAAACTGAAAAATTGTTCTAAGGTTATATACACAAAGCAAGCAAGATATATATATTTTACTTACTGTGCCAGTATTTAGAGTTAAGTAAATTAAAAGTATAGAAGTATAGGTAAACATTAGAAGATAATTTGTAGTATCTGCGATAGCTAGATCAATTTGTGCTCAACTTACGTATACTTGCTCGTCAGAGCTGTGTGTCGTCGTACTTAAAAGAAGTTGAAGAAACTAGTTCTTCTCTATAGGAACAAAAGGTAATAGCGTCAATATACCAATCCCAAATTTGTTATATTAAATATTAATTCTAATGTGTGCACGCAATATAATCACAATGAAAAATTTGTATATTGTGGTGCAATAATTATTGTTATTCAATTTAAAGACTATCAATATTATACATATATAAATATATTTAAATATATATATACAATGATACATAAGTAGAATATTAGTTCAATTACAGTTCTAATTGCCGTAGAAATGAAAGTATAATGCGCACAGATTACCTGCTGATGATGAAGCTCTTCAGGTAATCTCAAGAAACTTTCCCTGTGTCGTGACACAGATGTGGACATTTGTTGTTTTTTTCGCTCAGAATTGGCCATTTCCTGAAAGAAACAGCAAAATTTTATTTATCATTGATTCAAAGTAAATTCGAATGTTTTCAAGGAAAGGAGGTGTATAGTGAAACAGGAAAGGAATTAGGTAAAAATCATAACTTGTGTTATCCATGGCATGCAACGGGACGTACAGTATATTGTACATACTTCTCCATCGTTGTTCAGCAACAAAGTGGTCATGTTATCGGCAACAAACCATTTCTGGCTCTTCATCACCAAATTGGTGGGTGGCTCGTGAGTCACGCCGATGTCAGATGACCAAACGGTGACACTTGCACCCGGCTCGAGCTTAGCCGTCCTATGGAATTTAAAGATGGTTTCCAAGTTTCCAGCTTTGCGAATCAATTGCCAACCGCTCAGAGATGTTTCCTAGATACAAAAAGTACAATAGCTGAGTTGGTGACTCCAGAATTGAAGTTGGTGTCAAAATAAATATACAACGTACTCAAAACTTTATTAAATACTTTTTACAGTTAAAACTCAATGCAAAAAAATAGCTTAATAAAATAAAGCATAATAAAACTTTCGCACAAAAGAAATAGTAAATATCAACGACCATTGACGATTATTTTTATTACTAGAGTATACGTAAATATAGATTTATTATTACTATTATTATCATTATGTTACTTTTGCATATCTTTTATTATAAAGTTTAAGAGACGAAGAAAAAAAAAAAAAACAAAGAAAACGACAATTACTGATTTGCACGATTCAACGCATATTTGTCATTGTCGCCTACGATAAGTCGGTCAATAAAGTGAGTGTATAAGAATTTGTGTTTGTTCTTTATTTTTCCTCATGTTTTCTGATATTTCTCGATCCGTTAGGCATAGAGAATTCGAGGCAAACTTAGACGAAGCCTCTCGGTATTATGTATAAATATTTATCATCGTTACATGTGATGAATGAAAAGTAAACGCTGTCAATGTGTAAAAGAACAGCGAAACTTGTAACTCACGCATCCACATGCACACATATACAAAAACGATAATAAAAAAATTAATAAATGCATATCAATGCTGTAGTTATATTTCAGTGTATCTGATGTTTTACATTTCCCAATATATTTTTGGTTTTCATGTATTTGTATTTTAATACTTAATTTATAAAAAATTTTACGTACACCATACAAAGATTGAAATGATTAAAGGAGGGAATGTTTTTATTAAAATAAAAAGATTTTCAGTATTTTGTCAAATTTATATAATTTTTATTACATTCAACTTGCGGTATACAAAAATTTGTAGTGCTCTATGCTCTTAGTAGATCTTACTTTGAAAAAGGCGGTCGACAATTTATTACTATAAAAGTTTCTGAGATTATTCTGGCAGGTGTGATGTACTGCTATATCCAACAAAACAGTCATCTTATGTCTAAGTAATTATACAGATATATAAACTAATTATCAAGTCAGGATGACACAGGGAGATAAAAATTATTTACCATAACGATTAATTTAATAAACGCTT